GACCACACCCGCATTCAATGAAAATTAGATCTAGTCTATTTAACTTTAATAATAGTTAGACGACCTGCCCGGTCGTACACATACACACAGCAATGGTGGACGTGGGGCGAGCCATAGATAAAGTATCTATGCTTAATCTCAGGCTCGCCCCAATTAACTAATCAGATCTGAGATATCGTTGAGATACTACCATTGATAATATCTACGATGCTCTAGGCAAAAACGCAGTAGTATCTATGGATAGAGATATCTAAAATAAGGGCTCGACTACTCAAGCACTCAAGCAAATTTCAATCATAGATACTATATACCTATGTTTCAATCTCTTCTCTCGAATTCACTTCAGATCTGATTAATTTCGTAGGATAATCTTCCGCATGGCCCGCACATACGGCTACTACAGAATCCTCACTTGGTGTTTAGCACTGGTTCCTGCTGGCAGTGGATTTTTTCTCCTGTTAGCAATGGTAACCCTTGTAGTAGCTATTCCATGGCAATGCCTTAAGCCAAACCCATTAAAGAAACTGGATGAAAAGAAACTGGTTGATGAAATCAACTTGAAGCGGAGTGTGTGTGGCCGTTGCATACCATCATGCAGTTGGTCTGATATGTTAAAGCTTCTACTTAAAGGTGTATTGCAAATTACGGAGAGATGCAGTCACTATCTGTTTGAAAACGATTCTCTTAAAATTCAGTCAAATGAGGAACATGGCAGAATCGTTATTATTAGCGGCCGTACCTTTAAGTTATCGTTTAAAGTCCTGTTCTTTCTTGTAGTCTACAACTGTATTGTATGGGGCATTATCTTCTCTGTTGCTATGAACTATCTCGTACTTCATGAGACTTCATACTGCAATGATAATTATGATTGTTTCGTGGGTAAAGATACAGCCTATAGTGCACAACCACTGACTAACTGCTCAGAGATAAGAGATAATAACAGTGTAATAAAGTGTTACTATATTGAAATTAGGCCTGCTGTTGTTATTGCTCTTGTTGGTGGATTCCTAAAAATTGTTCCACCCATGGTCTTTTATGCTACTACCACGCTCTACTTGATACTGCTAAAGGACTGCCACTTGTCAATTAAAATCGCTGTCAATCTCATATTGTTTGTCATTTTTAGTGGTCTACTTGTAATGATATTAGTTTTCACTGGTCTGAGGCCGATTGCATTTATCTACAAGAATGATGAAAGAGCTGCTCAAGTGTTTGTGTTTGTTCTCCTCTGCCTTTGTTTTACTTGCTGGCCATGGTATGTATTCGAATGTGCTCAAGTTAACTTAGAGGAGGGGGATCAAGATGAGAGGGATCATGAGGAAGAGGAGGAGGCTGCAGGGGCTAATAATGATTCTGGAAGTCAGGAGCAACTTTGCAGTGGTTCTTATAAATTAGCATCGATAGCTGGTATAAAAAACTAGTGAAAATTTTAATGTTTTTGAGCTGATTAATTTGATCATTTACTATAGTATATTATGTAAGTATATTGTAAAGCTAAAAGTTTCTGTTAATTTTGCAGATTTGGAAAAATTGTAGGAATTTAATCCAAGCTATTGTAAATTTATAAAAATAAAATCTGCAAAAGTCAATTTTATGGCACTTCGCAAAAAAAATTATGAATTAAATTACAAAATTATTCTGAACTACCTCAGCAAAGCGTTGGTGGTGTAATGGTCAGCATTGTTGCCTTCCAAGCAATAGATCCGGGTTCGATTCCCGGCCAACGCATTGCATTTTTTTGGTTCATTTTATGGTGGCCTTTTGTGAAAAAACATGTCTTCTGGTAGGAAAGCAGTTATATTTTTTGCTTCTGGGGGACTTCTAGCAACAATGGCATACATTTCTAGGAGGAGAAGCTACAAGAAACAAGCAGAAAACATACCAAAATCAGAAACAGCAGGAAAAAGACTAAAATTTACAAACAAGACAGTGCTAATCACAGGAGGAGCTGGTAACATAGGGGCAGCCACAGCCCACGCATTTGCAAAGGAAGGAGCAACCCTAGTACTAGTTGACCTGCCACGATTATGTGGAAAGATGAGAGAAGCAAGAAAAGGGCTCCTTTTAGAGGGTGCAAAAGAGGTCCATGTTTTAGGAGCAAATGTAAGTAATTCTCAAGACGTACAGAGAATGGTCTCAGAGGCCGTGAGTGTGTGTGGGCGTATCGACTGTTTCTTTAATAACGCTGGCATACAAGGAGAAATGGTACCACTTCACGAGCAGTCGAATGAAGAGTTTCAAACGACGATCCAAGTTAATTTATACGGAGTGTTTCTGGGAATGAAGTACGTTTCGCGAGCGATGATGATGTCCGATAAAAATGGAGGGCCAGGAGGAGGAGTCATTGTCAATACTGCAAGCATGGCGGGTCTGATCGGGCCCGGAAACATGGCCGCCTACGCCGCATCGAAGTTCGGAGTCGTGGGTCTAACAAAAACCGGTGCCAAAGACCTCGCACCTCATAACATCCGAGTCGTTGCCATAGCACCCGGTCTCGTCGAGGGATACATGTGGGACAGGCAAGTGAGGTTGCGGGCATTATTTAGGAAACGTCAAGAAGGGACGGAGGAGGAACCAAGCGAGAGAGAGATCAAAGAGCAAGAGGCCAGGATGCTGGCAGCAACTCCACTGGGACGTGTTGCTAGGCTATCAGAGATTGCTGAGGTGGTTGTATTTCTCTGCAGCGAGTCTGCTTCATACATAACTGGATCTGTGATACCAATAGAAGGAGGACGGTTACAATAGTTTTTATAGTGAAAGTTATTAAACACGTTTTGTCACGTGTATCATTGAATTCAATTATTCCACGTGTTGTCACGTGGGCAATTTAGCCACTCCCCTCATTCAAAATGGCTACCTGTTCAGAGTCCTTTGTCGGAGAAGAGCTGGAGCCTACTCTCTCTAATGTACTGGAACAGTCTTCATTGAAATGGATATTTGTGGGTGGCAAAGGAGGCGTTGGGAAAACGACTTGTAGGTTAGTACATTGTCTAGCTATTGTTAGTACAAAATTTCAAAGTTTGTGAAAGTAATTACTGGGAATTTAAGTGTTTTTGGGTGTAGCTATAGTGCATAGAAATGGCTAAAAATATTTTTAAACTTGTAGATTTATTACACTTTTCAAATCAAATTTTTGATTTTATGTAATTATGGGCCAATACAAATTTGGCCAAGCATTTCTTGATTTTTATGGCCAAATGTTAAAGCTTTTTTGCAATGTTCTTATTTTAGTTGTAGTTTGGCAGTACTGCTTTCAAGAATAAGAGAGAGTGTCCTCCTAATATCGACTGATCCTGCTCATAATCTCTCGGATGCTTTTGATCAAAAATTCTCGAAATTCCCAACTCAAGTTCAAGGCTACCGGAACCTCTTTGCAATGGTTGGCATTTTTTGTTTATCTTTGTTGTTTACTTTGTTGTTTGTTTGTTTGTTTGTTGCTGTTGTTTAGGAAATTGATCCTGAAGTGATGGATAAGAATGAGATTGAAGATGGAATAAGTCAAGCTGAAGGTCCAATATTATCAGTATAATAATAATTATTATTATTATTATTTTTGTATTTATTTTGTTGCATGGCTTTGTGCAGAAGCTACCGTATAGGCAGTATATTTCCCTGGGAAAATATATTTCATGAAAATCACCTTTTATACTATTCACAAGAAAATTTTATTACATTTTTCTTCTACTGACCATTATTAGTATGATAAAAAAATAATTTTTATA